TAGATGTAGGCACCAGTAGAGGACAAAAGCTTTAAAGAATACAGAGGTGTTTTGTTACTTATTAAAGAAATGTACCTTTTAAGTTAAAAAGTAAATCCAACTATTTCTAGGAAGTTTCATGCAAAATACAAGACCTGCGGTGTTCCAAAGGCTAACCTGATATATTTTGAACATAACAGTCATACTAGAGAAAATTAAATAAGATGATATACATAAATAAGCTAGTAAATTTCTTTTTTCTTCTTCTTCTAAAGCCGAACAACAACTTATCCTTATACAGAAACACAGATGTACAGCCAAAACACTGGAGGGAATTACTTTGATACTCAAGGGAGTTCTGCACAGGTGACTACCGTGGTCTCGTCCCACAGTATGGTGGGCACTGGTGGGATTCAGATGGGCGTCACAGGAGGACAACTCATCAGTAGCTCTGGAGGAACCTATCTGATCGGCAATTCAATGGAGAATTCTGGTCACTCAGTGACACACACCACTCGGGCCTCCCCAGCAACAGTAAGTATTTGAGTTTTCATTGGTTTAATTTAGCTTCTTGGTAGCCACTGTTGTACAGTTTCCAATATAAGGGAGTAAAAAAAAAACACAGACTGGGCTGGGCTAAGAAAGTATTGAATTTTAGTATTGTGATATTATCTAGAATATAGAACATTATACAGAATGTTACTGATATGCACCCCACAATTATGTGAATTTGGAAGTTTTTATTAATAGTGGGGAGTGAGGTTATTCTCACTCATTAGTGCTGATTTTAATAGGCTTTCTTCAGTGATAGTCAGTAAAATATTTTAAATTTCTACTGAAAGATTTCACTTTCATATTATGCTGATTTTCATTGGCTTTATATGAGATAAAAACCAAGAAGTAATATAGAGAGTAAAATATAATTTCGTTTGGAATTTCCACATCTTTCACTGGTAATATTTATGCGAGCTCATTGCCAGAGAAGACACTTTATGTAGAGCAGCATTTCCCAACCTTTAGACATTTAAGTTTGGCCATATTCACATGCCACCCATACTATTATTTACTTAATATATTTTTTAGTTGATTTGCTTTTAAAATAGAAAATAACATAATTTCTTCTAATGTATATTAAAATCTATTCTTAAAAAGTAAATTTAAAAATGTTTACCCAAGTGTCCTATATAAAGCCATTTTGTATTTTACGAGAGAGACACATTGGAAAGCACTGATTAAAAATATCTATATTGGCTTTGATCATAGCTACAAGCAAATGATTTCTTAGGAACACATATTTGAGTTTTATAGTTTTTAAAATTTAATAAATACATTTATATTGACACAGGATATTTTAATGTATTGAAATGATGTCATAGAATTAGTTCTAGAAAGCTGTATGGAATTTGATATCATCAAACTCTAACCGGGGCTTTTTATTTTCACCTCAACTAAGCATATAAAGGAGAGTGCTCATTTAGAACTACCTAGCTAAAGTAGTAATGGAATTGATTTTCTAGGTGTTTCATGTAAAAGGAGGCTGGGGATTTCAATTAAGCACAAGCACCCATTTTTTCATCATCTTACCATATAGTTCGTTCTTATAATGAAATAGAAGTAGAAGCAAATTTGGTAAAAAAAATAATATGAGAAGCTTTAAATTTTTCATTTTATGGATTTTCTTCAAGATATAACATGTATTTGGTAAATACTTTGTATATTCTTTTCTGTTTGTAATGATTACATATGTTCACACTTTGAGCATTTAATGCCGTTTCCCTAATTCATCCTTTGAAGCCTTTTACTTTTAGTTCACTACTTCTTGCTAACATCAGAGCAGGTCACTAGCAGTTCTGAGTGGAGACTTCCTTTTTTGTAACTTTTTCTTTGTGTTTTTAAAGAATTTCTTATGTGTATTTGTCCCTTGCTTTCCATAACATTAAGTACAACATGTCTAAACTTTTTAGTAACAACAGTATATTTTAATAGATTAGAAACTGTATCATAGCCTCTCTGGACCTCAGTTTCCCTATCAATAAAATAAGGTGTCAGTTAGAGTAAATTATTTTCTAATTTCCTCTCAGCTTTAAAATCATATTTACAACAGAATTGTAAAATGTTCTAGATGTAAAAATAACTTTGTTTTTGCCATAAAAGGAAATTAGGTAGAATAGGTACCAGTATTTTATAGTGCTCCTAAGAAGGCCACCCAGCAAGTCATTTTCTATGGAAATGGAGTTACTCACCATTTCCCAAGGCCTTAGGAAAACTGAAAAATGGGGAGAAAGTCTTTTTTTAATTTTCATTTCATCCACCC